CACAAAACTGAGGCACAATGGCCTATGCCTGTAATCTCAGCACTCAGAAGATACTTGAGGCAGAAAGATCATAAGTTAAACATCATCCTCAGCCATATATCAATTAGAGTACAGTCTGGGCTATATGAAATTCTATCTCCAGAAAAAAAAAAAAAGATTCCTAGGTCAGCATAGTGGCACATACATGTAATCCTAGCCCTTGGGAGACCAAGACAGAAAGACTGGGAGTTGGAGGGGATAGCCTGGGCTGTGCAGTAATAGTCTGTCTAAAACCAGCAAAACAGATCTATTGCATTGGAGAGGGGGAAAGTCTGTTTTAAATAGATTAAGTCAGTAGTAGAAATACAGTGTGCAGAGTCAGAAGACTGGGGACAGTTTTAGAAGGGACCAATTATGTCAGTAGAAGAGGCTGCTGGGTTTTTAGTCTTTTTGTTTGTTTTGTGGGGACAGAGTCTCACTGTATATTCCTGGCTGGAACTTACTTTGCAGTCCAGGCTGACCTCCAACTAAAGTCATAGGCCACCACACCATTGGGTGTTTACACTTTTGAAACCCCTTCACAGAGGAAGGGAAATCAAGTTAGGTTCCACTGGAGTGGAGCCACAGTCCTGGCCACAATGGAACTTCACATCCCCTCAGAAGCCCTATCCTCAGGTGGATGATGTAATAGATGTCTGGAACAACAGGAATTCAAGGGTGGAGGGTATGTGGCCTGGCTGGCTCTGTAGTCTAGGGGAAGAGTTTGTGCAGTGAAGGGAAGGGAGATCCAAAGACTGGAAAAAACTGTCATCAAGAAGATTAAAGAAAATATAATTACATGTAATGGATGAAAGTTGATTGGATCCTAGTTTGGGGAGAGAAAATCCATTATAAAAACAGCAGGAGACAACTGGAAAGCAAAGACATTAGAAAATGACTGAGGATTTCCTTAAGTACGACAGTGAACTTGTCATCTTCCATTCTCTCCCTCCCTTCCTCCACATTGCACCCCCATGCCACCCAGGCTGGCCTTGAACTCGTGATCCTCCTGCTTCAGCTTTCTGACACTGGTCTTGTATGCCCTTTTTTTTCTTTAAAAATATTTTTTACTTTTATTTAGGTGTATGAGGGTGGTGAGTGCACATTAGGTGCAGGTGTCTGTGCAGTCCAGAAGAGGGTATCAGATCCCCTGGAGCTGGAATTATTGGCACTTGCGGGCCACCTGATCTGGGTATAGGGAAACTGAACTCTGGTCCTCTGGAAAAGCAGTGTGTGATCTTCACTGCGGATCCATCTCTCTGGCCCCCTGATTTTCTGCTTCTGATGAAGAAGGCTTGGATCCCTGCTGATGTTCTCAGGGACAAAGGCTCACAACGTCTGTGTTATTTTTAAAGAAGTCAGCAAAAGGAAAACGAAAATGGAGGTTTACAGAAGAAATGTGGCCAAAGTGAGCAGCAGTATTTAGACAGAGTTTCTAGATAACTAGTTTTAACTTCCATGTTTGAAATTTTTCTAACAAAAAAATGTTGGAAAGCCAGGCACCTGTTTGAAATCCCAGCACTGAGGAGGTGGAGTAAGGAGAAACCTGAGTTAAGAGGCAAGTCCGGGCTACACAGCCAAGACCGGGTCTCAAAGGGAAAATGTCGAGGGAAGAAGAGGAAGGGGGTGCTGGTCAACATGGACTTCCTGGGCATCAAAGGTGGCACATTAGCACTGTGGACATCAGGCTTTGGGGCCTCACCTCTGCCTGTCAGGGGTCGGTCAGTGGTCGGTCGGCAGAGCCCTGCCTGCCAGGGGTCGGTCAGCAGAGCTCTCCAACTGCTGTTTCCCTGCTGTATCTCATTATCAGCGTGGCTGCTTGAGGCCTTCATTCCTGTATTTATTTAGCCACCACCAAGCCAGGCTGACCCCGCCCCCCAAGAGATCACATAGGGAGACAGTGCGCGTTAGCACAATCCCCACAGTAACTCAGGAGAAGTCCCAGGTTTCCAGAGGCAGACGTTTTTATTTATTTATGTTTTGGTTTCTCAAGACAGGGTTTCTCTGTGTAGTCCTGGCTGTCCTGGAGCTCACTCTGTAGACCAGGCTGGCCTTGAACTCACAAAGATCTGTCTGTCTCTGCCTCTCAGTGCTGAGATCAAAAGTGTGCGACACCACCATCCAGCTTAGAGATAGGTGTTTTTAATCATGGTCACACAGCTGGCCTGTGATGGAGCAAGAATTTAAATCCAGTGTCTTGACTTCAGTATCTAAGGCCCTGCATCTTAATGTTGAGAAACCCCAGCAAGTAGAAAGTGGCACCTAGAACTCTCACACTAGAACACTGGGAGTTTCTCTCTGGGGTAAAAGACTTGAGAGGATGCAATGACTGTCAAGCTCTAGACGTGTTGTAGGACAACAGATGGGCTTACTTTGCTCACAGCATAACAAGCATGAGTGATGGAATTCACCTGACGTGAGCATGTCATCCCAGCTGGAGAGGCCTGCTCTAGAAGCCCTGAGGTCCCCACACTAAGATAGAGCAGGGGCTGGGTTCCACTCTGAAATGCTCTCTCTCCTCATGACTGTGGCCAACTCAGAATAAATTCTTGTTCTACCACAGGTTCCCTTATCCCTGTGGGTTCAGGACTGTACATTTCATACTTCACTAAGGTATAACTTCCAGACCATACAACTCACCCACTGTTAAGTGGACAACGGGATGGGTCTTACCAAACTGCTAGTTGTGTCACTGTTAACACGGCCACCTTTCTGGATGTTCGTCTTCCCTCTGCTTCCCTCCCTGGGGGCCTGCTGCGTGGTCTTCCGTGGACTCTCCAGCAGCGGTGAGAACTCAGGAGAGTGTGGATCCCAGTGTCACCGACCTGCATTGGAACAGTGTCCAGGTGGCTCCAGCAAATCATGCTAACTTCTCCTCCCTTCATTTCTTTACATTGTGTGTATGTGTAAGTGGGCATGGACATGCCATGGCACACGTATGAAAACCAGAGGATAACTTGCAGGACAGTCTTCCTGCAAGCACTCTCCCCCAGTCATCTCACCGGCCCTTTTTCTTTTTTTTTTGAGAAAGGCTCTCACATGCAGCCCAGGTGGCCTGGAACTCTCAGCAGTCCCCATGCTCGGCCCCCACACCCCTGTTGCTGGAATCACTTTGTCTTTTTATATTTGAGTGTCTCCCTTTGTAATGCAGATGCCGCTCATGTGCCGGCTGGGAAGAGGATGTATACAGGGCCCAGCAACCCTTGAGGCTTTTGACATCTTTACTACTACCCTCAACATTCTTTGCTCCGATGCCTACTTCACCTTCTCTTCCAGGCACCCCTGTTTACGGGTCACTCCTGTTGGCCAGCCCTTACTACCTGCAAGGGAAGATGGATTCTCTTCTACTTGGGCAGGGCTGTTAGAGGAACTGGGGTGAAGCAGCAGCGCCACCTAGTGGCAGTGAATAAAAGCAAACTATATACAAGGGGACGTGCAGAGGGCGTCCATCTCTCCAGCCCTGACTTTCTCTTTCCTATAGAAAAGACTCTCAGGCTGGAGAGAAGGTTCCATGGCTAAGAACATTGGCTGCTCTTCCAGAGGACCCAGGTTCAATTCTCAGCACCCACATGGTGGCTCATAACTGTCTGTAACTCCAGTTCCAGATCAGACAACTTCTTCTGGCCTCTGAAGGCACCAGGCACACATGTAGCACACAGACATAATAACCAAACTCATAAAATAAAATTTTAAAAAGAAAAAGCTCTTCAAATTGGAGTATGGATGCCCACATCTATGAGTATATGAAGTTACCACTGAACTGGACACCTCAAAGTCTCTCCAGAGCCTGTCACCAGGGTTTCCAGGGTGATAATGGCAGGACAATACCTACCTGATGCCTGCCAAGGACCCTAGATCACTTTGGTCACACAAGAAACCTACTTTGAAACAAACCACATACTCTTCCTGTCCTAACACTGCGGAAATATCCTCACCACTGAGACATGATGTTTAACAATTCAAATTACATGCTCTGCAATACACTGGTGACTCCCAGGCCCAACTACTCATAATGTCCCATATTCTGACATTCACAAAGACCTGTACCCTGATAAGCCCTGGGACCGTTTCTAGGACAGGAAGGTGAGGATCAGCTGGTACATGGAAGAGCTCTGTGTTCTCCGTCCCAGCCCAAGCTCTTTCCTTCTGATTGGACGACCACAGCCCCTTCACACCTGGTGTCGTGCTGCAGTGGCACCTCTGCCCTTCCTAGGGTGGTGAAGTCCATGGCCACTTGCAACCTCAGTGCTTCTAAAATACCCAGAAGCTTCCCAGACAGGAGAGGGGACAGATGCCAAGGGACACGGGACTTCTTTTGGTGCTGATGGAAATCATCTAAAATTGGCAGTGACATACTCTGTGAACATACTGACTCACTGAATTGTACAATAAAAATAAAAAACTAAAGGAAGCAGATTGGGCCTCCACAATCTGCTTTTTCTGTGAGCATCTGGACCAGTCTTGCTGCACTGAGCATGCTTAAAAAAGACAGAGCTCTCAGCAGCCGGGGAAAGGCAAGGCTGCTAAGGCAACTCTCCCATGCTATCAGTAATGCTGGCCAGTTGGAGACAGTGCTGCTGTCCTTGGATGGACACCATGCTACCCGGGGAAAGAGCAGAGCAAGGCATTCAAAAGCATGTATCACTTAGTCCTTGTCCCTGGGGTCAGTACTGGCCTCTCAAGTCGGCAGACAGGCTCGGACACAGCAAGGCTAACAGAGAGTGGCTGGAGGGCAGGCAGGGCAAGCTGGAGGCAAACGTGGCTTTCAAAGACCAGGTCTCTGTTCAGATCCACCAGAGTGAAGTGCCCCTACTTGCACTTTACTGACGCCTCAGTTCCAAAGTCACATGAGAGACATGGTGTGGAAGTACCAGTGAGGAGGGAGGCAGGGTCTGAGGGGAGGGCAGCACCTCCTGGTGTGTCCTGTGTGTATCCTGAGAGCTTCTAGGAGAAAGTCAGAAATAAGGGGAAAGAGACTTGACTCAGTTCCGACATCCAGGAGTACATGGCCACGTCTCCTCCTTCTCAAGGAAGTTCTTTATTGTCTAACCAATCACCACATTTACTGTGCCCTAGCACCAGGCCAGGCACACTAAGCATAATTACAAAGGGCAAGAGACTCCCTGCCAATGGGAGGTGTACAACTTCAACATTTCTCAGGAATTCCTCTGTGGTTAAAAATCACATCTGGACTTTGTCGCCAGTATTGCAATGAACATTCTTGAAGATGATTTTTAAAGAAAATCATCACAGTCCACATTCACAATGACATGGATTTTTTTCCTAGTATAACTTTGTTACCAATGAACAAGGTTTTATCATGTTCCTTAAAATTCAGCTTGCATTCCCCTTCCTAAAGTAGGAATCAAGATTTTTTGAAAGGGGTTTTAAAAGGTTAAGCAGAAGGGCTTCGGTACAAATGTGGCCAGGAGTTGTGTGGCCAGAGGGCTTGGGGCTGAGCCCAGCTCCTCTCCAGACCTTCCTGTCTACCGCTATCTGCAGGGCAGCACAGCACACACTTCCAACAGCTCTCTAGACAATACTGCCGTCGAGGAGGGAGCCTGTGCCGCCAGCAGTCTAGGTAAAAATGCTTCTCAGAGCAAAGTTTAGCACCAACCCAGGGAGGACCAGGGGTCACTGGGAACTCCATCCCTACATGAACCTCACGACTTTCTCACAAACTCTCAGAACACCTAGGTGTACGGTTCTGCAAACAGATACTAACCAAAAGCCTACAGCAGACTAGGACAACCAGACACAGTGCCGACTCCACCAGGGGCATCTGTCTGCTTCCTGTGAGGGACACTCAGCACAGAGCAGGGAAGTGGGAGCAGCAGCCTCGAGGGCCTGAGATGGTGATGCCAGAACACAAGAGCCACCTCACTTCACTCCCTCCAGCCAACCTGCACTCCACTGTGGACCATGTGGCTTGGGGCAAGAGTCCTGGCCTCCTGTTGGGCCACCAGCCCACAGGGTCTCCATTTGGCAAGTAAAGGACAGGCTGGAAACTTCTCTAGTGTTACAGTCTTGATACTCTAATGAAAAAGGTCACTGATTCCTTTGACTAAGCAAGCTAAACAAGTTGGTATGACTAACAGAGCCCAGGGGAGGCACTGCCCCTGAGGCTCTTCAACCTGTGGTAATCACCTATCTTCTCTTCTTGAGGACCGCTGAAGCACTACAAGTGAGCTGCTCGCTTTGGCACGATGGGAGAGAATGACAGTTCCTTCCTTTCTTTTTACAAAAGGACACTGAAATCCAACAGGATCCCGGGTGTGTGGAGATGCCAGACCCAGGACTGCACAATGGGACCTGTCTGGCTCCAGCTCTCTTCTTTTCCAGCCTGGAGACACTCTAGCACTCACACCCAGAGGGGCCTCAGCAAAAATGACCATCAAAGCTAGTGAAATGGAAGGAAGCATTCAAAATGTAACACTGGTTCTCTTAAAATGGAATACTGGTTTTCGGATAGCGTGTATAAGGCACGGTGTGAGAAAGCTGCCCCCACTAGCAGCTGCACAGGCCCATGGGCTCCTCACACGCTCACATGCACACAGGAAAGGCCAGCTGGCTTTGCCACAATGCACGGGGAGTGGGCTGCTGCTGATCACTTCTGGTTTTTGAGCTGGTTGGAGAGCCAGTCCAGGCCTTCGTAAAGCCCATCTCCACTGGTGGCACAGGTAGCCTGGATGTACCAGTTTCTCTGGCGAAGGGAGTGGAGGCCGAGCTTGTCTGTGATCTCTGCTGCATTCATCGCATTGGGAAGATCCTTAAAAAAAGCAAGCCGACAGTTTACCAACCTGTATCCATGGATACAGCAGGACCTTCCTCTAAAACAGACCCCAACCCTCTGTCCCCATTTCAGTTGCTCAGGCCCCAAACCTTCACTTTTTCCTTCTCAGTCCACACAACAGGAGATCCCAACGGCCCTACCATCAGAATCTGTTCAGAATCTGACCACCTCTCCCCAGCCTCTCTACCACCACCCTGATCTGATTCCACCACCTTGATAATGGAAACAACTTCCTCACTGCTCATCCTGCTTCCGTGCTTGCCCCCAACACCTAGTATCAGATCACATCCTCTTATTAAAACCAAAGCGCCTCTGCTCCCCGAGAAGAGCCAAAGCCGCCTCCACAGCCTGCCTCATTTCGTCTTTTTATCAGAGCATCCCTATGTGTGACCATATAATAGAAGTTATTTACTCTGTGTGGTAATTACACACAGGTCTCTTTTACCTAGAATGTAAAGCAGGAATCTTTTCTCTGACCTATACCTGGGTCATCCACACAGTAAACTAAAACTAGCTGGAATACATTAGCATCAAAGGAAGATCTAGATGTACTGATATGGAAGAATGTCAAATATATGCTAAGTGAAAATACAAAAGACTACAAAACAATGCATACCATAATCTCTGAAAGTTAAATAGAAATACAATCACATAATTGCTTATATAAGCATAGAAAGTCTTACCTCTGGAAAGAGATACAAAAAATTTGACTGTTTTATCTCACAGTCAAAGCTAGAGGAATGGAAGGTAGCATTCAGAATATAACACTGGCTTTCTTGAAATGGAATACTGCTTTGTGTACACTGTGAAACACACTGTGTAAGTCATCGTGGGAGAAAGCTGCCCCCACTCCTAGCCACACAGTCCTAAGGGCTCTTCACACGTTCATATGCACACAGGAAAGATGTTTCACTTAACATTCTAAGCGGCTTTTCAAATTCCTACCCTGGACATGCTCCCTTTTTATCATTAAAAATAAAGCCATGATTTTCTTGCTTAAAGCCTGTTGTGTCCACTAGTTAAACTGCCTGGCATCCTGCCGGCACAACAGGGTGACAGGTGAGGGAATAATAAGCCACCCACCGCAGGAAGTCACGTTTATAGAGTGGGGGTGACGAGACAAACTGCAATTGCTAAGTCTGAAGTGGCAGGTGTGGCTGCAGCACGTCGTTACACCACGATCTCAGCTGCATAAGGCATGCAGAGAGGGGAACAGCCCGGTGGACAGGTCGCCTCCAGAGTCCCGCTCCACCTTCTCTTTGGCATCTGGTTCTGCTCAGCTCCAGAGGTTGGGCAGTTCTGCACCAGCCTTCCTTCCACATTCATGGCCTTTCCTCCCCAACGACAGGCCCAAGGACCCAGTCTTCCCTGTGTCCACCCCTCATTCTGCTTCTGGAACCCTTCCCTCCTGGCTCAGAATTAAGAGTCATGCCCAGCACTTCCCACAGCCATTCTGCACTCCTTCCACAGACACATTAAAAAGTCTTGATCCACTGCCTCTCCTCCCACCACAAAGTAAACACAAATGCAGGGCCTTTTTGGTTCACTGCTAAGTACCCAGTACCTGCGGCATAGCCTGGAACTTAGCAGATGCTCCATTAGTATTTATGGAGTGACTACAAGACATTATAAAAAGGAGATGGAGGAGGCAGACATCTAATTTAGATACCTATATATTTAAATGAGCCATCTGGCAGTAAATTTCAGTCTCAGTGTTCAGAAAGCTAACAACTGCATACCTGTTTGTTTACAAACACCAATAAAACTGCATCTCTGAGCTCATCTTCTGCTAACATTCTGGTTAGCTCTTCTCGGGCCTCATTGACCCGCTCTCTGTCATTACTGTCAACCACGAAAATCAGACCTAAAAAAGAAATCCCAAGCATGTTAGTAATATGAACCGGGAGAGAGCAGCTGTTTATATATCCACACAGCTGTTCCCTGCTCACTGCAAGGCTTCACTGAAGGCAGGCAACAGGAAGAATACCGTGCAGGCTTATAATCCCAATATTACACACAAGTTCAAGGTCAGGCTGAGCTCTTTGTACATAATGAGACTCTGTCTCCCTGCCTCCCACCCCATTATTATTTCTGGAAAATCTATATGATCTCCAAAGTTAGGAAGCTTATTATATATTCACCTCACCTATCTTGTTTAGAAGGATCACAGCAACTTACCAGATTAACCAGAGGGAACAAAGGAAAGCTAGGCTTAGTTATCAGTCACTTAACTTCCACCTCAGAGGGAAAAAGGATTTTGGAAGAACATGGTTTATACAATGAACAGCATTTGAGTATGGTTCCCTAAAACAGAGCCTGAACTGAAGGCCCAGGAGCAGGTATGCTGTCGTGGAAGTGGACCAGGGAAGCAGGTATGAAGGCTTGAGGAAGTTCAAAGGAAGGACAGTTCACATAAAAATGAGCAGTCAAGTTGGCAACCCCCAGGTGAGCAGTGCTGGATGCTGTTGGACATTCCAAGCCATATGGAAGCCTTTTGTCCCCGCAGGGGGAAAGGGGGGAATTGTTTACCCTTCCATACATACCCAAGAGGAACCTAAAAGCTATAAACCCCTCAACATTTGTAGGTCACATTTGTAACAATGTCAAGAGATTCTTGTGGACGCCTACAGTAAAGAATGTGGTTGCTCTTTTGTCTCCAGAACTTTGAATGGGAGAGGAGTCTTTGATGGTGGGGAGTCCACCCCTGCTAGTTTATACTAATAAGACTGCCTCTAGGGAAGAGAGGGGGCCTGGGGTTGGTCTCACATGGCCAAAGGATTGACTCCATGTGCCTCCGTAATAAAGTCCCAATAAAAACCATGTTCACAGAGCTCACACAGCCTCCCTGGTGGCAGCACTGTTCACTGTCTCACATGCGTGCACTAGCAGAACTCAGGGGCTGGTCCCTGATTTGGGAGCAGTGGACAACAGAGGCTGTGGCTAGTCGGCACCTCTTGGGTCCTTCCTGTGACTACGGCATTTATGTCCTTTGCTGCAATAAAACTGTCATTTTAAGGTTAGCTCTGTCCTGAGTTCTCTGATTCATCCTCACAAGCTATCTAACCTGCCAGTGGGGTGAAAACTGCCACACTGTAACCATCCAGCGGGAAGTAAGAGTGCCTGGGGGACCCCAGTCCTGCTACAGCTGATGACGCAAGTGAGGGGCTCTTATACAAGCTGTGTCCTTAAACTGTGAAGTGCAGCCCAGCTCTGGACAGCGGATGTCAGGGCCTTGACACCCCTACTAGATCAGCAGAGAAATTCCAGGAGGTGAGAAACCCAGGCAGGGCAGGCTGAAGGAGGCACCACCAGAGCTACCACATTACACCTAAGGGAAAGGCTAACGCCTGCCCAGACTTGCCACGCTGCTGGAGAAAGCAGTAAGGCAGGAGGAACGTGCAGGGGTGAGCACAGACTTGGGAAGAGTCCCTGCCAGTATTCCATGTGACGACACCAGCAGCAAGTTGGTGTCTGGCTAAAAGCAAGGCCTTTGAGACAAAAATGTGAGGCAGGTGCCAAAAGAAACTGACTTGAGCCTAGGCTGAACTACCAGTAGTGACAGCTACTCCATTTCTGGGACGTGGGTGCTAACAAGCTGATTCTTCTGGGTATCAATCAGATCATCCCAGGAGTATTACAGCGCCAGTGGTGGACCCTAACACTCTTAAGTCACAGGCACACTGGAGGTCTCAAAGAGCCAGCAGGACAAGGTATCAGACACTGGTCAAGTGATACAAGCAGGGAAACTCCTGGACGAAAACCCTTGGTGAGAGACTAATAGCTAGCTATCTCAGACATCAGAAGGGTCATGGCATTGAGCTCAGGGAAGAGACAGAAGACAAGCAGGAAAAAGTCACAGGGAGACCCCAGGACAGAAGCAGAAGTCTAAAGAGAAAGTGAGCTGCTAAGAGGACTCTTCTAGAGGTCTTTGTGCCCAGCTTAAGGCACATTTCATGGAGACTCTATGGGATGAGAGACTCTGATAGACAAAAGGAAGTAGGGTCAGATGACACTGAGATTTCACAACAGGCCAAGAGAGAAAACCAAGCCTGGCCCTCTGCCCATGCCTCTGTGTGTCCCAGGCCCTCCAGGCAGCCTACCCAGCAGACAAGCACTCTCAGGGCTTCTGACACATTTAGAATCTTCATGCGAGTCAAAGCTGTATCTGGTATAGCATCAGATTAAAAAGGGAAAGCACTCAAGGCCCACCCACACAGATTTGGTATGCTACCGCAGTTCTGAACTCCAACTCTGACAAAGTACTCTAGCTGATGTGGAAATTCAAGCAGATCCTTAGTGCCAAAGCAAAACCCACAGAGCAGAACTGACTGCTGTCGCTTTGCTAGTCCTAACACAAGTACAGCTTTCCGGCCTTTACTGAATACTCCCATCAACATGATGATGCCCATGTGCATGAAACCCAAGAAATCAGGGATGGAGTCCTTTGAAAGCAAGAGCCAAAATACATACTCCTTCCCTTACCAATGAAACAGAATTAAGTTAAACTTTACAGCACATCCTACTTTGCACTGTTGATACAGGTCCTTACCTAAGGACCTACCATCAGAATGACTATACTTACGAAGAGAAAAGTCACACTGACACAAGAAGAGTGTGCAAAGGAGCCCTACACAGCTGAGAACCATGTGCCAGGCAAGCCTGACCTACATAGCAACTCCCTGCAGCAGAGCACTTGCCCGGCATGTGCAGGGTTCTAAGTCTGATCTTAGCCTTGCCCCTCACCCTGAAAAAAAAAGAAGGAAGGCAGGGGAACGTGTGTGTTACATTTTTTATATTGTCTATACTTGTAGAAAAAATGTGTAGACACAAAAAAATAAAGCTGGTTGCGTGTAGGACCTAGTAAACTGTGAAACAAACCTTTTTTCTTTGTATCCCTTTTTCTTTCCTTTCTTTGAAACAGATATACTGCCATTCAATAATTAAAAGAACCAAGCTGAGTGTAGTGGCTCATGATTTTAGCCCTAGCACTTGGGAGGCAGAGGCAGGTGGATCTCTGAGTTCAAGGCCAGCCTGGTCTATAGAGTGAGTTCCAGGACAGTCAGAGCTACACAGAGAAACCCTGTCTCAATCTGTCCCTCCCCCCACCCAAAAAAAGAACCCACAAATCAAGGAGAAAATCCACATGAGAACTAATGAGCTATTTTATGCACGCTACAGTTATCAGGAAATCAGACAGTGTAAATTATAGTTTATACAGGTAAACCCACACAGGGCTGGGAGAGACTAGGACCTCCTACATGCTGGAAAAGCGTTCGAGCCCTGAGCTCTGAGCTCTGAGCTCTGAGCTCCACCCTCAGGCTTTTTATTTTTTATTTTGAAACATCTCACAAAGCTGACGAGGCTGCTCTTGAATTTATTCTGTGGCCCAGGCAGACCCTGAACTTGTGATCTTCTCTTGGCTTTCTGAGTAGCTGGGATTTCAAGCCTGAACCACCAGGCTTAGCTTTTGATGTCTTAATAGAGAATTACAAGCATTCATTAAGGTCTGTCATACTCACCAGACTGATGGAGAAAATTTAAATTAAAAGACAGTCTGACCTTTGGGAAGTTGGCAGACAAAACAGGGGCAGCCTCCAAGACTCCTCCCACATGAAACACATGGCCCGGCCCGAGACGGCGAGTCCACTCTTCACACAGCTCCTACTTGCTATTTCATCAAGAGCCCACACTACCACCCTTCACTCCCAGGACACAGCTACTTCCTCCATCAGAGCAATGCCACTGAAATTCTATAAAATTAGGCTTGTGACAAACAGAAGACTAAAGACAAATGCACCTCAGCTTGATGCTTGATTCAGTGAAAACTGAATAGCGTGGAGAAGAAGTGTGGCCCCGGCTTCTGAGTGCTGCTGCCTCTCAGCCACACAACTGAGCACTTCACAAAACTAGTCTCAGTTCAGCGCGGGGCTTCGGGCAGCAGGCATTAGCCTCTTTAAGATGAGGGAATGGAGGCAGAAGAACTTACCTAACTTCCCTGAGGTTTCTTAGCAGCTGTGTTGAAACCCAGCTGTTCTGGTTATTACAGATGAGAAGGTGCAAAGTGGCCAAGTTGCCAAGCACCAGTCCAAGATAAACACACTCTAGTGAGCATCAAAAAAATGTAGCCTTCTTTGCAATGCGCTAAATCACAGTGTAAATTACACTTCACCATGGAAGTGATGTGGTTTCTCTGAAAATACAGATTGAAGTATTTTTTCTGACTTCCTTGTCTAGAATGTATTTCAGGAAATCCCGTATTTAAAAGGATTTCAGCAGACAAATAGAGAAAGAGTACCAAGGGGCTTGGGGGAGTGGCTTGATGTCCTTGCTTAGCATACCTAAGGCCCTGGGTTCAAGCCCAACACCACAAAGAAAAACAATAAAGAGTTCAAGGCCAGCCTGGATTAGGCAGAGCTCTCTCAGAAGGAATAAACCGATTTAAAGAAACCACCATTTTACAGCTCCTAACAAAACAACAGCATACTCAATATCCTTCAATGTACACTAGGATTATGTGGTAAAAGGTTGATAGGAGTTTCATTTGGGGAAATTAGGTTGACATCATCTGAGCATACTTGGCATCAAAGTATGAAAACCCATGGCTTCTGGGGGCTCAAGATGGGAGAGAGCCAGTGTTTAAGGGGTGCTGGATTTCAGTTGCACAAGATGAGATAGCTTCTGAAGATAGACAATGGTTATGTTTGTACAATATTATGAATGTATTTAATACCAATGACCTATAAACTTAAAAGTAGTTTATATAGGTCTAGAGGCTCAGTGGCAGGGTGCTTACTTAGCATGCTTGAGGGCCTGGGTTTGATCCAATAGCAGAAACAAAACAGTACAAAACTGGCTAATTCAGCTAGGGAGGCTGCAGTGGGAAGATCCTGAGTTTTAAGACAGCCTGGACTACATACAACAAGTGCATGTCTTTATTCCCTGGCAAAAAAGTTTATATATATGTGTGTGTGTGTGTGTGTGTGTGTGTGTGTGTGTTTATGTGTGTGTGTGTGTATATAAACTATATATGTATGTATGTACACATACATACACACAATATGACAACAGAATACAAGTACAAAACAACAACAGAAAAATCTTTCGCCCAATCACTCTACGCAACCTAAGTGTCCATTAATAAATGAACAAGCCAGGGCCAGGAGGTGGTGGCGCAAACCTTTACTCAGGAAGCAGAGACAGACGGATCTCTGTGAGTTCAAGACCAGCCTAGTCTACAAATCGAGTTTCAGGACAGAGAAAGCTTGTCTCAAAAAACAAAAACAAAAACAAAAAAAGAAAGTAAGTGAAGGCTAACTACATTTTAAGTTCAAAGCCATCCTAGGTTACATAATTTTGTCTCAAAAGAAGAAAAACTTTTTTAAAAACCACTCTATTTTGAGGAAAGATACTCTAAAATCTACAAGCTGAGAAAATAACTACAAATACAGTTACCTGACCAGTGTAGGTAAAAAAAAAAATTACTGTCGAGATAAAAGGGACAGTTAACCTGGCGGTTTGGTCCTAAAGGCTGGCAAATGTTAAAGTCTTTGCTATTAGACACACGGAACAAAAACTCCATCAGCTTCAGAATCTTCAAAGCGAATATATTCTAAGTAGACTCCAAAGTGAGTAATCTGTAGATGCCATACGGTAAAGTCTACATGGGAACCAGGGTGTGAAAACCGTGTGAACAGTCTGTTTCAACTGGCAAGACCCAGTAAGGCACCGTTTACTGAAAATACAGCCCTGGGAACAGGAGTGGATTAGAACTGCTTCCCAGAACTCACTGATAAGGAAACAAGGTGCAGATGTGAGGTGGTTATCCATAGATACCTGGAGCAGGAGGGCCAGCGGGGAAGCACTGTGACCACACAAGATGACAGGATTTGGAGTTCCAGCCATCCCTACCCATCCCTTTCCCTACGGGTGTGATTTTCAGGTATTCTCAGGAGATTTAAAGGAGCTGACTGAATTCAAATTCTTCAAAAACTGGCAATTCATCTAAAACATCACTCAATTAACTGAAAGATGAAATCCATTTTCCCAAACTTCTGCATTAAAAAGAGTTCAAACCCAAGTCCTTTTTCTGGGATATGTTTAGGGGCAACATCACAAAGACACTTCCCCAGTAAGTGCAGGAATGGCTGGCTATCCTAATAAAGTAGTGCCAAGCTGGGCGGTGATGGTGCACACCTTTGATCCCAGCACTCGAGAGGCAGAGGCAGGCGGATCTCTGTGAGTTCGAGGCCAGCCTGGTCTACAGAATGAGTTCCAGGATTGCCAAGGCTACACAGAGAAACCCTGTCTCAAAAAATCTAAATAAATAAGTAAATAAAATAAAGCAAAGCAGTGCCAGAAGGCATCGCAAGTTCCCATCTTCAGACACATTCAGTACACACGCTTCCAATCTTTACCTTGAGTGTTCTGGAAGTAATGTCGCCACAAAGGTCTGATTTTGTCCTGGCCACCAACATCCCAGACCGTGAAGCTGATATTTTTATATTCCACAGTCTCCACATTGAAACCTAAGTAGAGATGTTAGAAAAACTTTTCAGTATGATTTTCACTGTCCAACAATTCAAAGTAAGTTCAATTAACACTTGCATAGTACCGTTTGTAAACCACAGAGCTGTAGATCACAAGGAGAAAGTTCTCACTCTGTCATTCACTGTGCCTGGTGTCTCAAAACTTCTCTGCTCTGACCACCCACCACTAACCACCCATCTAAGCAGCAACCTCCCAGCTCTGCTTCTCTATCAGAAGACCTTCCAGGAACTTCTGAACAAAGAGAGCCATCCACAGAAATGACTTCCACTTCCCACCACACAGTGTAAAAATGTACTTACTTACCAGGCGATGATGGCGCACGCCTTTGATCCCAGCACTTGGGAGGTAGAGGCAGGCGGATCTCTGTGAGTTCAAGGCCAGCCTGGTCTACAGAGATCCAGGACAGGCACCAAAACTACACAGAGAAACCCTGTCTCAAACAAAACAAAACAAAACAAAACAAAAAAATGCACTTCTTCCCCATGCTTTTCACCCTCCACCTTAGAACACTGAGTATGTGATGACAATTTCCTCCATCTATGTACTGGATTCAACCTACCCAGACAGTCCGAAGACTTGTACACATTGCTAATCTCTCCTCTATCTAAGTCATCTCCAACCTGTCCTTATGTATATTGGACATATGTACTTCATATGTGTATGCCTGTGTACTTCATATTTCACATCTTAAAAAATAAATGTAAGCTGGGTGTGGTAGCACATCCTGTAATCCCAGCACTCCAGACAGATGAAGACTGATCAGGAGTTCAAGGAGATCCTCAGCTACCTAAAGAGTTCAAAGGCAGCTTGGGCAATGCCTCATTAAAACCCTATGTATTCCTATTAACTCCATATCTTTACCTTCTATGGCTTTTTATTTGCTCTTCTAAAGTCAAGAAAATTTCTGAAAATGAGTAATGAATTCTTTCTAATAATACTTGAATAACGTTCAAACAAATATAACAGGAAGTGGTGTAGAAAGACACTTCTGAATGACAATTTAGTACGTGATAAGGCATTTCACGTTAGCATGGGAAAGTTATTCAGTGATGCTGTTGGACAACTCTCTACTCTTGAAAGTCCAACACCTAGCTAACGGTCACATTATCTATTCTTCAAAAAAACTTCACTTACTCTTATTTGATGTGCATGAATGTTTTGTTGGCATGTATATGTGTGCCACATTTGCATCTGGTACCCAAGGAGAGCAGAAAAGGGTATTGGATCCCCTGTTAGAAATGGCTATGAGCCATCATCTAGGTACTAGGAACTGAACCTGGATCTTCTGTATGATCAGCAAGTGCTATCAAATGCTGAGACATCTCTCTAGTCTCTTATTTAATTTTTTTAAATGAAAAATGTAAACCTTGTAAAGTTAGTAAAAAAAAATACCAGCAAATATTTTTATGATCTTAAAAAAAATTGTCTAAAGATACCATAAAACTCAGAAAGAAAAGAAACATAAATTTGGTTTTCTAATAATTTAAAATTTCCTTATATTAACATAGCAAAAAACAAGGTTGAAAGACAAATTTATCAACTGGAAAATAAGTGCCTGACAAGAGTTGTTCATGATCCAGATTGCATTTCTTCAAGTTAGTAAGAGAGTAAACATCACAACAAAAAACAACTGAACAATAAAAACAAAAACAAATCAAGGAGCAAAGGGAGACATTTTGATTTATTCATCTACAATAAAAACAATCCCAAGCCGGGTGGTGGTGGCGCACGCCTTTAATCCCAGCACTCGGGAGGCAGAGCCAGGCGGATCTCTGTGAGTTCGAGGACAGCCTCGAACAGAGTAAAGTTCCAGGACAGGCGCAAAGCTACACAGAGAAACCCTGTCTCAAAAAAACCAAAAAAAAAAAAAAAATCCCAATAGAAGTCAGTGTTTTCTCCCTATCAGATGGCAGAGTTCCACTTTTCACTGCTAACAGCACAACCGTTTTTGGAGACTAGTCTGGTAACCTGGATATACACATTAAATATTCACGTCTCACAGGAAGCCTTCTTCCAGACTGACTGCAAGGAAATGAAGTACATGTTTGCAAATATGTAAGACAGGACTGAAGAGATGCTCAGTGGTTAGAGCACTGGCTGCTCTTCCAGAGGACCTGGGTTTAATTTCCAGCACCCACAAAGTGCTGTGGGATGGTCTGTATGTCAAATGTGTTGCTGATTGGTCAATGAATAAATCACTGATTGGTCAGTGGCCAGGCAGGAAGTATAGGCGGGACTAACAGAGAGGAGAATTGAGAGAACAGGAAGCTGGGTGGGGGAGACACTGCGAGCCGCCATCAGGATAAGGAAGATGTAAAGTACCGGTAAGCCACAAGCCATGTGGCAAGGTATAGATTAATAGAAATGGATTAATTTAAGCTGTAAGAACAGTTAGCAAGAAGCCTGCCACGGCCATACAGTTTGTAACCAATATAAGTCTCTGTGTTTACTTGATCGGGTTTGAGCGGCTTGGGACTGGCGGGTGAGAGAGATTTGTCCTGACTGTGGGCCAGCAAGGAAAACTCTAGCTACACACAAAGTGGCTCACAACTGTCTATAACTCCAATTCTAAGGGATCAGATGCCCTCTTCTGGCGTCCAAAAGCACCAGGTACACAAATGGTGTACAGACATAAATGCAAGCAAAATACCCACACACAGAAAATAGAAAATAAAAATGTTTTTTAAAAGTAAAAGATAGGCCTGGAGAAATAACTCAGAGGCAGTAAGAGCATTGGCTGCTCTTCCAGAGGTCCTGAGTTCAATTCCTAGCACCCACATGGTGGCTCACAACCATCTATAATGAGATCTGGTGCCTTCTTCTGGCATGTAGGCAAACATGCCAGAACACTGCATACATAATAAATAAAAAAAATTTTTAAGGAAAGATATTTACTTTGACATCATCTACAAAAAACAAATAATTGAGCCTGGTATGGTGGCACAGGCCTGAAATTTTAGCAATTGAGAGGATGAAGCAGGAGGATGGCTGACAGTTTAAGGTCACATACATTGCAAGACTGTGTCTTTAAAAAATAAACAAACAAACAAGCGAAACTAAGGGCTGGAAAAATAGCTCAGGAAGTAAAATGCTTGCTTTGTAAGTGTGAGGGCCTAAATCCAATCCCCAGAATGGGGGGGGACGGGGACGGGGAGGGGGTAGGATGGACGTTCTAATCCCAGAACTCGAGAGACAGACAGGAGGGTCCCTGGGGCTTGCTGGCCAACCAGCCTGACCTGATCAGGTGAGTTCCATGCCAGTGAGCGATTCTGCCTCTCAAAATTGGGGAGTGGGGTGGGGTGGATAGCGATTAAAGAATGACACCCAAGGCTATGCTCTGACCTTCACACTCTGAAATGAGAGCACGTGTGCATGCGCACAAACACCTATCCACGAATACTAGTTCAAACTACAGCCATAGAGTGGAACGCTAAAGCAGTTATTAAAACATCCTACTGCTGTTCCTTTTAGTCCAGTGAAGCCAGCTCTTTCTGTTGGTCTCAGCTTTAAGAGTTAAGTCTCAAGCTGGGCAGTGGTGGCGCACGCCTTTAATCCCAGCACTTGGGAGGCAGAGGCAGACGGGTCTTTGTGAGTTCAAGGCCAGCCTGGTCTACAGAGCAAGATCCAGGAAAGGCACAAAGCTACACAGAGAAACCTGTCTCGAAAAACCAAAAAAAAAAAAAAGAGTTAATTCTCAAGGGCACCTCTTCTTTGGTGGCTTCGGCTTCTTTAGCTACATTTACCTAGTGAGCCAGCAGGCCGGACCACTCTCTTTCCAGGTGGTCTTTTATCCTCTAGAACTGGCTTCCTTAACTGATGGTGGCAGCTTTCAGTGACAGTGATGCTTCACTAGTCAAAGCAAGTCATATGGCCAAGCTCAGCACCATGAAGGAAGAGGAGGAAAGGCGTTGAAGAGCATGAGTCATTGGAGGCCATTAGCTCAACAAACTACCACATCAGTATGTAATTCATTCACCAAAGATTTATCAGACACCTAACATGGCCAGGCGTTTTACCAGATGCTGGGAACAGCGAACAAGACGCATGTGGTCCCTGCTTATCTACACTGTTGGAAAGAAGACAGTGAACAATCAATAAACCACAAGTGTTTCTAAGTTTACTAAGGACTTCAGGATACTCTGGAAACTGAGAATAAGTGAAAAGGAAAGGAACCTCTGAGAAATTATGCTCAAACTGAGATCCAAAGAGTGTGCTGGCAGCATTCACTAGGGAAAAGAGAAGGGGCAGAGGAAGAAGGCAGGAAAGCATTCCAGAGGAAAATGGGCAGAAGGTGGGGCACACACACTGGTGAGTGCAAACTGGGAAAGCAGCACTCATTTTACAAACATACTCATCAAAATCTTTCAATAGGATATTAAAGACAATTCAAAACTTGTATATATTTTTGCACATAAAAATTTATAGAAGCGTGTATTTTTGTTTTATTAGTGTATGTGTGTGTACAGCATGCATGTACCATGTAGCACACACTCTGTTGCACATGTAGAGGTCAGAGGGCAACTTTGTGGAGTTCCAGGAATCGAACTCAGGTGGTCAGGCATGGCAGCAAGAGCCTTTCCCTGATAAGCTATGTGCCGGTCTTTATATTGTTTTTATAATCGGGGAGAGCTGTTCACATTTTGAACTAAAACATTTTCAAATTGTATGTGTGAACATTTCTATTAGTTTACAACTTTCTTCAAATGCTGCACCCTCTAAAGCTAGTGCCTAAGGTGAAAGTTGACCCATCTTAGCCATGGGAAAACTCAGACAGTGCCCAAAGGCTTGCTCACAGCAGCCTGGGAATTTGGTTTTGTAGGCAAGTCACAAGGTAAAGATTAAGTTCTGTCAAAACTGCTTTTGCAAATCTCCTGAAGAGCCCATAAAACACAGCACTGGTTCACCATGAGGACAGACCACTGAATTCCTTCAGCTGGATGCCACCTCATGTATTTGTCTTGAGATAGGGCGAAAAGAACACAAAGTCTACCACTAGAATCATACCTGGTTCGGAGAGATGCTCCCAGGGGAAGCCAGGTAGAATGGAGGGGGAGAAAGGCATGACTGGTTCCCACCTAAGGCTTGTACTAGGTCCCACTCCAACAGAATGGGTAGAGGGTAGCATTTCCTTACCATCTCAATGGTTACTATCTTTTTCTCCTTCCCAAGCAAACAGGGCTAAATTTGCTTAACCTAAATTTGTTCACAACTCCCCTGTAAGCCAAGGAACATGCCAGGAATGCTAAGAAGCACTTATAAATACGTATGGTTGGGTGTGGTGGTACACTCAGGAGGATGAGTCAGGAGTGCCACAAGTTCAAAGTCAGCTTGGCTACATTGTAAGACTTGTCTCAAAAAAAGCAAAATAACACAACATCTGGGGCTTCAAATCTATGTTCTTGAAGTAGTCAAGGTTTGAAAAAAACAAATACTCAATATAAGAAGCACATCAGGGGCTGGAGTAATGGTTCAGAGGGCTAACTGCTTGCCGATTAAGAATGAGGACCTGAGTTCAGATCCCAGCTCACACATAAGAGCCTGCTGGGCAGTGGTGGTGCACACCTTTAATTCTAGCACTTGGGAGACAGAGGCAGACAGATCTCTGAATTTGAGGCCAGCCTGATGCACAAAGTGAGTTCCAGGACAGCCGGGGCTTCGCAGAGAGACCCTGTCTCAAAAAAACAAAAAAAGAGATGGGCCTAACCCTAACGGCACACATGTGTATCCAGGTGGTCATACAGGAAGATCCGCAAGCTTAACAGACAGCCAGCCCTGTCAAAATGGCAAGCTCTGGGTTCAGTGAAGAGGCTCTGTCTCACAAAATAAGGTGGAAAGTGATAGAGAAAACACCTGATATAGACATGCATACACACATATGACGCATACATATGCAAATGAAGATTTTGAAAAAGCAACACAAAGTATAATGTGCTAAACTATGAACTGGCAAGGCCACAGTCATGGACATACCTATGGTAGGGATGGTTGTCACAATCTCTCCCAGCTTCAATTTGTACAAAATGGTGGTTTTGCCAGCTGCATCCAAGCCCACCATAAGAATACGCATTTCCTTTTTTCCAAATAGGCTTTTAAACAGTTTTTCAAAAACATTCCCCATTGTAGATGAATTTTGTAACCTGAATGAAAAGCAAGTTGAACAGTTATTCTTTGAGACATATATATATATATATATATATATATATATATATATATATATATATTGCAACACACATAAAATACATGGCACACTTAGTAGTGGGTCCTAGTAAAAGTTAAGTGCAGCTTGGCCAGTAAGGAGAAGTGTCTGTTTTCAAAGGAGGCTCCACTAAGCCATCCTCTGATGCTCTGCCAGAAAACTGGACTTTCCACTGCAGCATCCAAGTGGATATCAGAAGCCCAGCCTCAGTGCCATGCTATGGTGGCAGCCTTTAGTCATCTTGAGCATGGAAGAAATGCCACAACAAACAACTAGACTTTCTTCTGAGCCCACCTGAAACGAAAATGTAAGAAGCAGACACCCTGTTCTCCACAATATGAAGCAAAGTTCTTAGGACAGGTAAAATATCGATATCCCTAGGAAACTACACTTGCCCTTGGCTGGCAGACAATACCAATACCCAGAGAAGGATGAGGAAGTTTCAGAGTTGAAGACACCAAGTGACACACATCAAGTAGGCAGGCTGAGGGAATATTTTAGCATCCAGCATTCAATGGTATTGACCATCTTCTTAAAATTTATGAACAGATACAAATATGGTTGACTGTGAAGGTCCATGAATGTTCATGAACCAAAGACAACTACTGTCACCAGGTCAAGGAAAAGATGATTAATTAGTAGACCAGATCCTCCCTGTGCCCCCTCCAGTTACTACTCCCTAGAAGGTAATTATTCTGTTGACTTCTAACAGCTTAAGCATCAATAGTTTTCTTTTTCAACACAGTATCTGGCAGGTTATCTGACAAAGCAACGAAGCCAGATGAGTTTTTGTGGAAAGTTTGCCTTCTTCTTAACAGATCAGCCTATTTGAACGGTGTGATACTTCAAAGACTTAAAAGCAGAACGATGTGCACACCCAGTACACTTTGATCAACAATGACTGTTCAAAACAACATCCCAGGGCTGGAGCTAGAGTCCCAAAACCCAAACAAAATAAACCCCACAATACCCTTTATTCCAGAAACTATGGTTTTCCTTTTCAAATTGTTCGCCAAGGAAAGCTTTATTGGTGGTGTGTGTGTGTGTGTGTGTGTGTGTGTGTGTGTGTGTGTGTGTGTGTGGACAGTCATTCATCCAGATTCTAGTGACTCAGAGGGGTGGGTGGCCGATTCTAGAAGTCCCACCTTTGAAAGTCAACAGTTCCTACGACGGTTTAATATCATGGACTATGGCCAAGTACACACCGCTCCATTCTACCATGAAAGACGGTGAGCAGATTTCTCCTGTACACATATGAGAGCCACATGATCAAAGAAAGAATGACTACTTTCCTCATTCACAGGTCTGTCAAGACTCTAAAAACTGTCCAGTACCTTGACGCATTCAAAATTCCTAGATTCCTTTCATGTTTTCGGGGGTGGGGGAAGTGTCATAGACCAGGAAACTCAAAGGACCATTCATTCGGAGGAAAGGGAGGAACCTCCTGCTTCCAGGGCCCTGGAGGCCCTGTGCCAGATTCTCCTTGTCACCGCACAGCGCACTCACGGTTGTCCCGCTCGTTTCCCTTCGTTTGTCTCCCTGCCCCGATACCCGAGGTCTTAGGCTGCATGGTGGGCAGAGGGACCCTCTGGAGTAAGATCCATCAACCCTAGGACCCTTTTCCAAACGTCCGCGGAGGAAAATCCTAAGTGACAAAGACAGTGAAACCTCAAGGGCACGAGCGACAGCAGCCGCCAAGGTGAGCGCGCGCAGGGGCGGTCGCGCGCGCCGTGAATCTGGGCCCGGCGAGGGCTCTGTCTGCCCCGGCCACCAGGCCGCTCCCTCGGGACAGCGGACCGCTACGCCGCCGCAGAGCCCGCCGAGCGTCAATCCGCTCCGCGCCGCCCGGCCCGACAGAGGCGGGGAACCCAGTGGACCCAGCCCCTTTCCGAAGGCTGCCGCCGCCGCTCTCCGGTGTCCTGCCCACTGACACGCAGGAAATCAACCGAGCCTCGGGCCCCGCTGTCCCTCCCTTGCAGCCCGCGACTCACCTGTCTCTGCAGTGATCGCCTCCACAAAGCCAGTCCCGAAACCGCTACTCGGCCCGGCCGCCTTGAAGAAGTCCGCTCGCCTCAATAAAATGGCGACTGGTTGGGGGCGGGAACAGCAACTAACCAATCACCCATCGCCTCCTGGGAGCCCTCGAGCCAATGACCTCGAGGTTTCTTGAGTGACAAGAAATCTGACCAATGGAAAGGACAACAAAAGCTAGGCGAGCGGAGGCCCCACCCCCGCGACCTAGGCGACGGCACCAAGCTCTGGAAAGGCCGGTTTCATCTTCCAATGGGAGCTCACCTCATCCGGGCGAGCCGCGCCCACGTGCCCCACCCCCAAGACTACAAGCAACCAATCAGAAAGGCAGAAAGAGTTCCGTTTTGCCCCGCCAATCAACTCCGGGAATTCTCAGGGATTGAACTAACCCCGGGAGCATTCTGACCAACCCAGTGCTGCTATATGGGCGGGGCCAGGTTCACAGAGATATTTAAGGAAATTTGTTGCGGTTGAGCTAAAAGTAGAAACTAGTTTGGAGCAGAGTTCCTGTCGGAAATACCCAGATATCAACATCGAAATTAAACATAAAGAAGAAGATTTCTTAATTAGTATGAAACTAGACTGTTGTACAGAGACTTTCAACAGTTGGGAGAAATATAGTCACCAACACCTTCCTGGTGTCCCAGAGCTGCAGCACCCATTTCTTGAGAAATGCTTTACATTACTCGCTCCTCTAAATAATACCAAGTTGTTTAGTTAAAATGCTTAGAAGGCCTGACGATGTTGCGTAGCCGAGGTAATCCAGAGCTGAGGGCGTAGCTCGGTGGTAGAGCACTACCAGACAAGCTTGTGTGATGGCTTGGCTTCAGTTCCCTAGCGCAGCACATAGAACCTCGTACATCAGTTAACAGCTTTATTCAGTGCTGAAAAGAACCAACTAGTGAAAGCATGACGAGGCCTTAATTGTACATTACTAAGTGAAAGGAGCCAGTCAGAAAAGGCTTAATATATATTAGGCAGTAAAAACACTAAGGGTTTCAAGGACTTAGTAGGGAAGGAGGGATGAATAGGTGAGCATAGGGCACTTTTAGAAAAGCAAAAGTATTCCATATGGTAATCATGATGGGCAGTGCCATTGTACAGGTGTCTAAGCCCAGGAAATGCACAAGCCAAGACTTCCCTGGCCATCGTTTGGTTATGCTGTGCCTCTCATGGGGGACTGGTCTCTGGAGAGGATGTCAGAAAGGGAAGCAGGAGAACATGGGAGATCTTTTGTTTTGTTTTTTGTTTTTTTGTTTTTCGAGACAGGGTTTCTCTGTAGCTTTGGAGCCTGTCCTGGAACTCACTCTGTAGCCCAGGCTGGCCTCGAATTTACAGAGATCCGCCTGCCTCTGCGTCCCGAGTGCTGGGATTAAAGGCGTGGGCCACCACCACCCGGCGAACATGGGAGATCTTTACACCTTCCTCTCAGTTTTCCTGTGAACCTAGAAGCGCTCTAAAAATGACCCTTTAAAAAAAATCATGTGCAAGGAGAGGAGCTGGAGAGAGAGCTCCAAAGTTTAGAGCACTTCCTGCTCTTGCATAGGACTCCAGTTTGGTTCCTAGAACCCATGTCAGGTGGCTCACAACCTCCTGTAACTGCAGCTCCCGGGGGATCTGATACCCTTCTCTGGCTTCCTTAGGCACTGACACATATGTGGCATACATGCACACAAATAAAAATAAATATTTAAAACAACATCCCTGTCCACTTGAAATTCGATTACTGAACCATTGGAATCATGAAAGCATGTGTTTTGTATATATTATATATGCTTTCTTTCTTGCTTGCTTTTTTTTTTATGGGGGTGGGGATCAAGCCCAGAGCCTTGTACATGTGTGTGTGTGTGTGTGTGTGTGTGTGTGTGTGTGTGTGTGTATGTGTGTGTGTATGTGTGTATATATATGCATATGCATATACATTACTCTGTTTTCCATTACTATAACGGAGTAGCTGAGATAATTGACTTAAAAAGAGAAAAGGCTTATTTTGGCTCACAGTTTCGATTTAGTCCATGGTTGACTAAACCCATTGTTTTGGACTGTGGTGGCATCATAGAGGAATGGCATTGTGAAAAAAAACCTGTTTGTCATAGCTGGGAAGACACATGCACACACACTCACACATTCGCACACACAAACACACATACAGAGTAAATGCCCTAGTTACTTTCAACTGTCAATTTGACACAGCCTAAAGTCACCTGAGATAGCGTCTCAATTGAGGGGTTCCCCCAGACCGGATGAGCATGTGGGCATGTCTGTGGGGTTTTGTCTTGATTGTTAATTGATGTGGAAGGATCCAACACACTATGCATGAGAATGCAAGCAAGCTACAGCATTCCTCCGACATCTCTGCTACACTTCCGGAGGAGCTGTGAGTGAGTTCCCTGGTTAGAGATGATGTTGTGTGGCATAACAAACAGGACTGCTTTGAGGTTCCTGCCTTGACTTCTCTCAATGATAAACTGTGACCTGGAAGTGTAAGCTAAATAAATTTTTTTCTGTCCTAAGTTACTTTTGGTCAGAACGTTTCGATCATAGTAGCAGAGAAGAAACTCGAACACGGAGTTCCCATAATCTCCACCTAGAGTCCCTCCTTAGGACTTCCCATGTGGTCCTACAGCTCAAAGGTTCCACAACTGCCCAACAGCACCACAGACTGGGGATAAAGCCTTTAACATTTGGGCCTTGGGGGGGAACTTTCTAAATCTGAATTACAACAACAGTATAGTTGTTTAATGATGTTCTTGGTCGATGTGGAGTGGGGAAGGCTAGAAGAAAATAGGCCTAAAGTACCAGTAATGGGATTCAAGAGACAGGGTTATGATTTTTAAAAAGTATTTGAGAGTAAAATTGTGTACTGATTTTATAATAGGAAACTCGTCTTTTTTTTTTTTTTTAAGTAAAGAGAACTAAGGATGTAGCTTAGTGGTAGAGTGTTTTTCTGTCCTGTGCAAAGTCTGGATTCCATTCACAGAACATACACAAAAGAGGGAGGAAAGATAGAAAGGTAGGTTATCATAAGCATGAATTGTTTGTGGTGACATTGATGTGGTGGCAGAAGCATTTCCCCTAATAAAACACTTTCTGTCAATCAGCTGCTTGCAAAGCATGAAAAACACAATGTGTTCTCGGGAAAAGAGGAAGAAAGGTTCACACTAGGAATGTGTTATTGGGGAAGGCTCTCCACTTCCGGTCAGACTTCAACCTCTGCTAATTGGGCCGAGGGTGCATGTAGCTCAGTGGTGGAGGCCCTGCCAATTATGTGTAAGGCTCTGGGTTCCATTTTCAGCACCAAAAAAAAGAAAAAAACAAAAAAACTCTTCATTGTCAACATGACTGGATTTGGCATCACCTAGGAAACCCACCTCTGAGCTTATCTATGAGGATGTTTCCAGAGAGGACTAAGGAGGTAAGACACACCCTGAATGTGGGATTCTGGGATGGTGACTGTGCTGGCTTGTTTTATGTCAGCTTGACACAGCTGCGTCACCAGAGAGCAGGGAGCCTCCAGTGAGAAAATGTCTCCTTAAGACTGGACTATAGGCAAGCCTGTAGGACATTTTCTTAATTAGTGATTGATGGGGAAGGGCTCAGCCATTGTGGGTGGGGCTACCCCTGGACTGGTGGTCCTGAGTTCTACAAGGAAGCAGGCTGAGCAAGCCATGCGAAGCAAGCCAGTACCCCTCCATGGCCTCTGCATCAGCTCCTGCCTCCAGGTTTCTGCCCTGCGTAAGTTCCTGCCCTCACTGCTCTTGATGATGGACTGTGAGTGAAATAAACCCTTTCCTCCCCAGGTGGCTTCTGGTCATGGCGTTTCATCACAGCAATGGTAATCCTAACGAAGACAGTGAATATAAAGGAAAAAAGGAAGAAGACATCTGGGCGCCAGCATTCATCTCTCTGTTTCCTGACTGCAGCTCCCAAGTGAGCAGTAAGCAGCCTCACAGGCTTGCTGCCATGCTGTCCCCACCATGGTGGACTGTGTCCCTTAAACTGCGAGCCAAAATTGACACGTCCCTTCTTAACTCGCTTTTGTCAGGGGTTCTGTCACCACAATGAGAAAAAATAATTAACGCAATGTCTTAGTTGTAATAACTGAAGAAATGGTATAGACACTACTAGCTCAACTGCTTGTCTGCTGTATCAGCTACTGAGTGCAAAGGTTCCCTGGGTAATTCTCTACTTTTTTTTCTTTAAGATTTATTTATTTATTATGTATACAGTGTTCTGCCTGCATGTCTGTCTGCACACCAGAAGAGGCCACCAAATCTCATTATAGATGTTTGTGAGCCAAGATGTGGTTGCTGGAAATTGAACTCAGGACATCTGGAAGAGCAGCCAGTACTCTTGACCTCTGAGTCATCTCTCTAGCCCCAGTTCTCTCATTCTTATATACAACATTAGAGCTTAGAGAGTTTGAAAGCCAAGTAATGGATGTAAGTCAGTGGTCCCGTGCTTACATAGCACGTATGAAGTCCTGGATTTGCTCTTCAGCACCAAAACAAAACAAAACAAAACAACAGCAAAACAAAACAACAGCAAAACAGGTAGTGTATCCAAACTACCTTTCCCCAAGCACTATTCTCCATAATGATTGTCTTCTGCCTCTTGAGAAGCCCCTCTATACCCTGTCTTTGTTCTAGAAACAGCTCTACAGGACATGCACCCCTTAGGTAAAACCTTAAGACACATCTCCACTTGCCCCTAGGAATCTACTGAGAACCATTACA